TCATTACCTGCTTCTCCAAGCACTCTTTGGCTGACTGTGAAGGTTTGGGTGAAGGCGCCCTGTCGCAGATGCACCCCTCCAACAAGTACAATCCCGAGGGTCGCGAGCTGGACTCGTTCTCGAAATAAAAGAGCATGTTCTGCAGCAGAGTGAACCACTTGGTGTGCCATTTCGTGTTGTCGGAGCTCTTCTTGCTCAGGCACCCTCGTCTCGTGCCGTCCTTCTTCGCCAAAAGCCCCAGATAGGTGACATGACCATCATTGAGTCGTATTCCCTTCTGCATGTTGGAGGAAGACAGGCTCGGGCGGCTGCTGGTTACATCCTCCTCCGAGTCAAAGAAACAAACAAACAAACAAAAGACGAGGTGTCGACTTGTCCTCAATGCGGACCTCGGGCTGCAGGCTCGTCCAGCTCGGTCCGACGCATTCAGCGCGCTGGCATTCTGACTAAAACACAGAGTTGCGGAGCCACAAACACCAGTCCTGCATCCTTAAAAAGCTTTTTTGTCATACTCCGAGCGCGTCTAAGGTCCTCATTATCCGATCGTGTGGGTCGCAACAACTCCAATAAAAATAAAAACTAATAAAACAGGGAGGGAAAGAGGGACGGGGGAAAAAAAAACAGACGCAAGATGAGAGGAAAAGCAGGGTTTGAGGTCCGTTTCTCACGTGAAATCTCCAGAAAGCAGCAGGCTTGGTGCTGAGCTAGGCAGAGCTGGCTGGAGTCACATGACGCATGATTGTGGAGGGGGAAAAGCAAGATTTCAGCACCTTGGAGAGGTTCTTCTCAAAGAGACGCTGCAGAAGTTTTACCCCCCTTTTTGTAATTCCCCTCCAGAAGAACAAACATCATTGGAGGGAAATGAGAGAGAAGCTGATGGTGTGGGATTTCACCAAAACAGGAGCAGCTTTGTGGGAAACCATCAGKGGCCCTCGTTTGAATTTTCAGGAAACATTTTTTTTTTGTTGTGTTTAACTAAAATTCCCAAAAGCTTGTATAATAAAGTCTTAGTTCTGAGACATTTTTGGAGAAAAAAAGATATATTATCCTGGATAGAATAAGTGTATAATGATTGTTGAATGATTTTATAATTTACAATAATAWTTTAAGTTGTTTTAAATATAGTTTTGCTCCTTGGCTTGGCTCCTAATGCAAATAATAATAATAACAAAAAAATTAAGTGTGAGTTTAGAAAAACCTGAAGACAGTTTTCATATTTGTTCTAATTATTACACGTTTTGCTTATGGTTCAAAATTTGATCTTAACCTAAAGAAAGGGGTTCCAAACTGTGATCTGATTCTGGACCCAAATGAAGTTTTGTTGGGACCCAGATCAGTTTTTGATGTTGTTATTTTATTTTATTTATTTTCCTAAAAGGGGACATGACAATGTAATACATGACAATTCATAGGTTTAAAAAGCCAGAATTCACATTTTTTTTAATCTGTAGACCCCTCTGGAAAAAAATAAGAGACCATTGCTTTCCCTATTTGGTGGAAAGCTTTCCACCAAATATTGATTTCTGAACTCTTCCTGAGTTAAAACATTAGTATTGCTGTTTCTAAATGAACAGGAACCTGTTTTCTGTGTACTATTTGAGGTCTAAAAGCTCTGCATCTTTGTTGTCATTTTGACCATTTCTCATTTTCTGCATAATAATACTAAATTTTTGCTTGGAATTTTGGAGACATCTATTAAGTAGTTCAAAGAATAAAATATTGTTCGGTTTACTCAAATGTGAAATCATAGAAACTGATCATTTTAAAGTGGTCTCTTAATTTTTTCTAGAGCTGTATTGTCTTTCAAATATTCTCTTGTCACGGGTCTCTGCAGTGGGTTATATGCCTCCAGGTTTGGTTTTCACTAACATCCTGCTGGTTAACGGTACCGGAAATACACCAAAGGTGCCTTTACAATGTTTGGTTTTCATCTCAAAATGTAAGGAAATATGTGTCATGTAGATTGTTTCTTTGTTTTACTTGTAACGATGCTTCTTGGCACCTGATTGGCAGCACCTGGGGGTACAGAAGCTCAAAACAAGTGTCAATAACAACAGGAAAATAAGCTGTTTGGCAGAGAAGATTTGGCAAATATTTCATGTGCACAGACAGCATACTCAGCTCTACTGCTCTTCTCACAAATACATGTTCCTTACAAACGTGGTGCCGTTTAATAGGTAACTTACCAGGCTTTCTGAGATTTATTGCCAAGAAGCATTGTTACAACAAAGACATAATATACCAAATATATATTTATTTTTTGTGCTAAGTTTGTTTTAAGTTTTTCCACTTTTATATTATGGTGTGGTTTTATGATAAACCACAGGCAGTGCAGCTTTTCAGCTTGTCTACCATGTAACTCATTTTAAGCAGCCCAGCTTCTGCTACATTTACAGGAACTTATTTTCCACTTCACAACATTGAAGCTTTTCTAGCATTTATGGTAATTCTCACATGTGACCCACAGCTTCATGTTGCTTTTCTCTTAGAGAAGCTGCTGATCCGGAGTGAGGTTTAGGCCTGAAAAGACAACATGGTGATTAAAGAAAACTAGCATGACGGTCTCTAATAGAGAATTTAAATTAATATATTCTGGACCTTTGCTAGACAAAAAAAAAAAAAAAAGCTTTCTGAGGAGGACCTTACTGAATTTTAATTGAAGGATTAGGCCTGTCTGTTTAGATGCTTCACTCATTCACTACAAATAACATGATTTCATAGTTTCTGTTGATCTGTAGATCAATCTGTAAAATAAAGAAGGCAATAAAATCAAATAAAACCCTCTCCTTGATATCTAATTACAGCCAGATTCTGAATGCAGAGTGATGAGGACAATGACTCTGCTAAAGTCCACAAAAAGAACAATCACACTTAGTGGACAGTGAAAAGGAAACCGCCAAGCTGTCAGATCTGTTCACTGTGAATTACTCACCAAAAACTACAGAAGAAAACCTCACGTGTTGCAATATTTTACTCATCTCATCATTTAACAAAACTGTTTCTTAGTTTCTTCATTCAATAAATATCATTGGTTTATTAACTAAAGACTTAAAAAAACTTTAACCTCAGTTTTTGTAAATGCTGCTCTAAATAATGTAATTTATAACATAAAATTTTGTCATCTTTGTACTATGTTGTGTGTGTTTCATTTTTAAGCTGTGGATGATACATTGTATACATTTTTTAATTAAACTGCTCAGAGTTTGAAGCATGAAACACAACAGGAAAGTGTTTTAATTTAACTTTTTATCTCATTTTTCACTAACATTATGAGAAAAATGTAAAACAAAGTAATAAATCTGAAACAACATTTAATATTTTAAGCATAATCAGAGAAATGAAAACTATAATCAGTCACAAACAAAAATTTAAGGACCCATTCATGAACATTCTTTGAAAAAGATTTAGTTCTTGTTCCTCAAAATTTTGTTTTTATCTTTTGTTTTTTGTGCAACTTATTCACTTTTTATAAAAACTTTCTTATTGTATACATCTTTTGGATTGCGCATTTAAATATGTGCTTGAGTTTGTCTCTGAGCACTACATCAAACCACTGATGTTTGTCAAAAGTTTATTGAGTTACTGGATGAGATAAAGTCTAGAAAAGCAGTAAAAACAAATCAAATTTGCAGCAGGAGTTGGTTTAAGTTGAGCTGTAAATTACGAYAAAACAAACAGACTTTGCACATCTATGGCTGTATATGATAAAAACACAGTCAATGTGGCTCTTTGGGCACCTAATTTGTTTAAAAGGCATAAGCTCTAATCTGATACCATCAGCCCCCCACAGTTCCTTCTTATAAAAAAGAAACAAACTTGTGATTTTTATTTTAAATTTGTCATTTCTTCTGACATCCCATTAGTCTTTACAGCTTTTTCCTCAAACTGTCCCATTTTCTTGGATTAAGACGATCATAAAACGTCCTCACTGACCTGCCGGCTGAGATGAGAATTCAGTTTGGTCATAAATTAATTCAGTGTCAGGTACAAGCATCAAAAACTGCCCAGTTTTGAATAGATTTGCATAGTCATGCATGTGGGCCACCCATAGCAATAAGGAGCCGATTTTTTGTGTGTTTTGGAGATGCGTGAGTCAAGCTGCAGCACAACAGGACAGTTGTACAAACTGTAAATAGATCCAATTCATCCTCATTTATCATTCAATCATTTATTCTGGACAGAAGCAGTGAAATCGTTTCCTAGAAATGACWCGTGTGAACACGACACCTTGCTGTTTGTTCAAGGGGAGGGGGGGGGGGATTATGCAAAATGTATTTTTATGAGCTTTATATCATTTTATGTTATTCCCTGATCAAAAACATATCCAGAGTGCTGCTTTGACTCATACATGTATATGTTTGAGAAATCCTTGAATCTCTTGTAGTTGCCACGTGGAGCTGCCTAACCTGCTGGTACAAAGCACCGCCTATTTACACAAAGCTCCTCCCTGGAGATCAGTCTGAAGCCAAACTTCCAAATAAGTTATTAAAGAGACAGAGGCCAATTTCAAGGTGTTTATGATGCAAAGTCTTATTTATTTTTGATAAATGCAGCATTTTTGTAACAACTGAAGTAACATAGTTWCTGTGGGCARAGATGTTCATCAGTGTGTGTAAGACACAGGTTGTGTGTTTGTGTGTAATTTYCCCCCCAACAGTTCCTCATGTTTCTCATGTTTCATGTTTGTCTTGTTGTAGTGTCCTCACTGATAATAAAAAAAAAACCCTCAAATCCTAATTACACGATCCACCGGGCTTCTAATTTGCCATACTACTCTCTCTAATTACTGCTCTCCTTTTTTTAGAAACAGCTTTCTGGATTTTGTCCAACACCTCCTCCCCCCTCCCCCCACTCATCCCATCATCAGCATCGTCCCCTTCCTCCCTCATGCCGTCACGCTCGTTGTCATGTAGGAACAAACAAGCTGGCTGTTGTCTGCTGTGGCAGTCACATCTTATTTGATTGAAAGAGCGCAGAAGCAACCAGACAAACGGGCCTCTTAACTGTGTTTCAAACAAAACAATCTGGATTATAATCAAACCTGCAGATCAGCGATGAAATGACAAAACGCAGAAGCTGAGCTTGTTTGATTGTTTGCTTTAGGAGTGTACAAAAACAGCTGAGGAAAAACTTTTTAAAACACACACGTTATATACAAGTGCATGCCATTCCTGAATAAAAGAGACCAAGCTGATGTGAATAATAAATGTGCTTAACATGAGTGTGCTTGCARTCAGACTAAACACTCCAAACATACTTAAAGTGTGTTTTATTTATTAACTTAGTTTTGTGCTAAGTGCACCTTACTTGGCACACTTTTAGGTTTAGTGCAGTTCTGTGTGCTAAAGTGGAACTTATAAAATTCCTGTTAAAAGAGAGTCATTTCTTCCTACTGTCACCAAACTGATCCCTCAGAATGAAGGATAAAAGTGACTAAAGATCGTTTCAGAATGTGCTGTATGTAAATAACAATAACAATATATTGTTTTATAAAGGTAATAGCACACATTTATACTATACCTCAATCTGTTTACTACAATAAGTATACTTTGCTGTCACTTTTCAATGTATTTTATTTTATTGTGATAATACTGATTCAGATATTGTTTCCTCTTCTTTGTAGTTTCTTGTCATTCTGCATTTTAGTCACTCATATTAGAATGTTTGACTTATTAGGAAACAAGTGCTGACTTTTTGTAACTTCTACATTTTTTAAATTATTTATTTTAATCACAAACATTTTCTCCATAGAAACATGTAGGGATCCCTTCAGTACCTTTAAAACATTTTTAAGTAAACGTTTTAAACTACTTTTACTGTTTAGCCATCATTGTGGT